TGTAGGGAATATTGCTATCTTCACAATATTGTCTCCCAATCCATGAACATGGATGTCTTTCCGTTTATTTGGGTCTTTTAAAATTTCTTTCAAAGATGTTTTGCAGTTTTTCTTGTATAAATATAATACTGCACTCCTCTAATTGCTTAGAGGGCTTACGTGGGATCTGCTCTGGCAAGAGGTGTTCTGCATACAAGACCAAGCCTCAACCTTGGCCTCCTCTATCCTGAGGCCAGCAAGACAGATGGAATAATTCCCTCCGTATCTCTTACTTAGCTTACCTGTAAAATTTAGCACATTAGGCAACTAAAGGATTTCCTCCGAGGTACCTTTCCAGGTTGGCAAACTACAACTTGCACTGTTGGCTGTCTTTTAAATGTTCCATCACTCCCAACTCCCTGGCTCAGTATATGGCTACAGTGCCACAGAGATCATAGGTGCACAATGTTGGGGTCAATAATTGTCTGGGAAACCATGCCTTGGATGTAAGTTCTGCAGATAGTGGAAGTTTGCTATCTCCCCTAAATTCGCTGCAGGCCCCCTCCCCTCTTAGGTCAGTAGCTGGCTTTTCTGGCTTTGGCCTGAGACCCTGAATATCTGGAGACGAGAACGATCAGATTTCTGCCCTGGCATTGAGAAGGTCTGGCGGTCCCGGCCCCCAACTCGGGCCGCCTGGGTGGCAGCCCGGGAACGCCTATCCCCTTCTCCGCCTGCGAAGTTTGCCGCGCGCCTGCAGAGACGACGTCTGCTGGCGCGAGGCTGGGCGCTGTCAGTTCCTGATCCGGCGGGTGCCGGCTCCCGCCGCGGCAGGTTCCAGAGCAGAGAAGCCGCCCCCACGCCTCCGGCTCCCCGCGCGTGGAGTAAGGGGCGCGGCTCCGGCGCCGCCCACACCCGGGGCTGCGCTCGCTCCTGGCACTGCAGGTCTGGGGGACAGGGGCCGAGAGCGGCGGCCGTCCGGACGGCGGTGCCCCCGAGCCCGTCCGCGGGCGGCCAGGCGGGAGGACCCTGCGCGGCGGGATGGCGGCGGCCGCGCGCGCTCGGGGCTGGGCACCGCGGCCCGTCCCGCCGCCACCGCCACCGCCGCTGCTGCTACTGCTGCTGCTGCTGCTACCCGACTGGCGTGCGACAGCTCGGGACCCCGGGGCCCGGGTCGGGCTCAGCCTGCACCCTCCCTACTTCAACCTGGCCCAGGCGGCGAAGATTTGGGCCACCGCCACCTGCGGGGAGCGCGGGCCCGGCGGCGGGCGGCCCCGGCCTGAACTCTACTGCAAGTTAGTGGGGGGCCCCATGGCCCCGGGCAGCGGCCACACCATCCAGGTGAGTCCTCGGAGAGAACAGGGGTGGGGGGCGCCGACTCCTTCCCGCGCGGGCCAGCCGTCCGGGGCCGTGGCAGTGGGCCCTTTCTCCACGCGCGCCGGTGGCTGCCCCCAGCCCCGCGAGGCCCAGGGACCCCGGGAGCGACCCTGGGGGACCGAGCACTGCCCTGGCACCGCGCCGCCCGAGGCGGGACGGGTGCAGCACGCCAGCTGAATGAAGGCTGTGTCAGGTCCGGGCACGCAGAGGAGCAAGTGCGAAGCTGCGCTCCCGGGATGCGTGCGGCTGTCGGCCCTGCCCGCCTCCATCCCTCGGGTCGCGTCCGGGCTAGGCCGTGAGTCCACCCAGGCTTCGGAGTCGCCTCCTGCCAGACCTTTCATGCCCCCGACCTTATTCGGAGAAGTTGGTAGCAGTTACCTTCTGTGGTGTACTTTAAAGAGAGAACTTTGAGGTTGTAACCGTAGTATCACTTCAATGTCACCGAAAAGATTCAGTTTACCCCACTGCCTGAGGTGCCATCATCCAGTCGTGGGGGCGAATGAGACCTTAAGGGGACAGAGATACAAATGGCTGTCTGAGATCCGAGTCTCACCGCCTTGCACCTTAAGCAGCACCTGGCGGCGGGCAGGGCGCTCACACACACCTGCACGCCAGCGCTGGGAGGTGGTCAGGGCAGGAGGTTAAGAAACGTGCCTACTTCCTTGGGTGGGTTGCAGAACTGGAATCCAGTCCTGACTTAAGATCCTCTACACTAAGCCATAATTGCCTCCCTCTTCTGGAAAGTATTGTTGAGGAATAGGAAGTGTTGCCGGAAGAGGGAGTAAGTTTGGAGTTTGGGCTCCAAAAGTGGAAGATTGTTGGGCGTCTAGGTTAGTGTTTTAGAAATTCTTACGACGGTGCACTGCCATAAATGACAAGTTGTTGAACATGTAGTGCCATTATATGCTGATTTATTTATAAATTATATGCGTGTGTTACCATATTAATATATCGTGCATATTATAAACATGCAAAAAGAAATTAAAAAGATAAAATAACATTGATGAAAGTACTTTCAATTTTCTTTTCCGGCCTCCAAATAATTTTGCTTTCTGTATTTTGTGATTATGTATAACTATTAATAAATACAATATACAAATATAATTATGTGTATAATTATTTTTGACAAGTTTAGTTTAGCACTTATGATACAACAAAGTTGATTTTATATTAATACTTGATTTTAGTATTGTTGCCAGGTCTGAAAAGATAACCTCAAAAATATGTAGATTGAAATGGAAGCACTGCATTGACTACTGAGTTCCAGAACCAGCTGCATAATTTATGGAATACAGTGCAAAATGAAAATGTGGAGCCCTTGTTCAAAAATTATTAAAAATTTCAAGATGGTGCCAGCAGAGCATTAAACTAAATGAGGGGTACTTCTAAGTGTGGGGTCCCGTGTGACTGCACAGGTCTCATGCTGTCTGAGCTCACTACATCATGGTACACATATCTCTGTTCCATCCCTTAATTATTCTAAAATTTTTAGAAGTAGAAACTTGGCCGGTACTTGTTCACTTTTCAAGTTTTATTCAGCACTTCCTAGCAGGAAGGTGTTGCATTTTAATGTTTTAAACTATAGATTCAATACTCATTTCAAGTCTTGTTTCGGAGAATATTAAGATGTGTTAGAAAATTCAGTTTCCATGTTTTTAAAATGTTCGAATATGAGTATTTTTAGAGTTACATATTTCTATCTTTTCAGCAACAAGATGGAAACATTTCCAAACATGTATTTTTCAAAACGCTCTTTTTCAGTATTTACTTTTACACACTTTGTTAAAACACCTTTACTTTGATAGGACAGAGTAAGAGCCTTTATTGTTCTGTAAATACCTATCAGGTAATATATTACTGGTGGCCACTCATCATCCCAGCAAAAGTCAGCAAATTTTGCGATTTTTGTGGAAAAAGAAAAAAAACTCATGTAACTAATCTTTAAGTTTAAAAGGTCTTTTAAGTATTTTACCGTGAAATAACAGTGAGCCCTGTGTGGTCAAAAGAATTTCATGGTGTTTTCCCATTTCAATATAGGGTTGTGACTTTTCTTCTATTTAGGAGCATAGAATCCACATGTCCACTTAACCTGGCACATGTAAAGTGCCATATGTCTTGGTGAGATGATAGCCTGGTGGCACCTCCCTTGGATAGACACTCCGGCAGGGGTGGGGAATCTGCGGCCTTCTGATTTCAAGATTGTACTTTTTTAAGCACCAAAGGAGGCAAAGAAAAGCTTCATCTTTCTCTCCTCTGCACCCCTTTTAATAAAGGGATTTGTTCTGTAAAATTTGGCTTCAGTCAAAAGGCCACGCTCAAGGATCCAGAAGGCCACATGTGACCCCAAGGCCACAGGTTCCCCACCCCTGCTTGGGGACTTATTACCAGCTTATTTGTGGACTGGGTGAAAGCCCCTAAGTCAATTTGTGTATTGAATATTAGCAACATGAAATTTCTTCATTTTTAAAGTAAAATAAGGATAAACAGAAGCTTTAATATTTCCTTCTTGCACTCCTCTGCATTGCCTGGCACACCCAACTTTGGAGAGAACTGTTCTAATCATGGTAGAGTTGGAGGAAGGTATCAAAAAGGTCTTCAGCTGTCTCCTTTCCCCCAGATGTGCCCAGGAAGGGCCGACCCTCCTCAACGGGTGCTTTTATTGAGTGTTCACAGGTTGACACTAATGTTCTGGAGGCCCAGAAAAATCATGTTTCCTGTTCTAATTGAGTTTCCAATGCAGGTCATTAAACACAGGCTCCCAGTCCTCGATGGAGTAGGAAGTGACTTTCTGAGTCACTCAGCAGACTTTCTCTAGGCCAGGGTGTAGCCTGCAGAAAGAGAATGCTATCTGGTATTACGTCTTATTCTCCCCTCAAAATACAAGGTGAACAAAAGCCCTGCTGAATAGTGCTGTCTGCTTTCGTAGCCAAGAGCTGGGAAAGGTGTACTAATTGCTGATGTGAGAGAATCATATCAGGGATGAGAAGGGGGAGCTGAGTTCTAGAGGCTGGAATATTAGACACTTATTCTAGCCCAGCATTGGCAGCAGCTTGCACACATTTGCCTTTCAGAAAAGTGAGAGGTGGTGAGTGATGGATGGGAGAAGGAAGAGAGACTGTGATCAATCATTTGGTTATATTTGAATTATGATTATCTTGAATCTGCCCAAGTATAGCACAAGATAGGAAATAGAGAAGAGTTAATTAAAATGGTTCTATTTCATTGAACTTTCTAGAAATAAGACTTTGGGGCCAGCCAGGACTTAGAATTTTAAGCCAAGAGGATTTTGCAAAAAAAAAAAAAATCAATGAAGGTTATGTCATAGAATAAAATCTGGTTTTATGGTAGTGATTTTTTGTTTTGTTTTTGAAATCTGTAACACAATGCTGATATTGGAATGGTAGCGTGTGTCAAAAGGCAGGACATTTAGAAAGTCTAAATTTTGTTTGTTGTGTGAAAATGTTCACTGTAGTTTCTCTGGACTTAAGATTCATTTAAAAAGATTTTATATACTTGTTACTGCTCAGATATTAAGCTTTTTGTTGTCTGAGGGTTCTGTGATTCAGGAATCCTGTCTGTGTTATTCACAGTTGTATCCTCAGTGCTTAGCACAAAACCTGGAGTAGTGTAGGTGCTCAGGAAATGTTGAATGAGGGGATGGTGGAGTGAAGATACAGTTGTAAAGCAGTTAATGTGCAGGGTAAACTTGAGAAGTACACCAATTAATTCTATTCTATTGAAAAGTAATTACAACTGAAATATGTCACACTATGTGCCTTAATTTTCAATGTTTACTTACCTTGGAATCTAAAGATATTATTACTTATTAAGACATTGGACAGAGGTGATGATAAAATGGAAATGAAAGGCTGTCTTGAAAATATAACCTTGTTTAGTTTAGCTTAGGATAAACACTATACTCATAAGGGATGAAATACACACATTCACCAAATGTGTGATCTTGATTTTGTACATTGACAGTTTGACACCTCTTTTATACTTCCCATCATTTATGTATAGGCAAGTGTGTTTAATCTGAATGATATTCATAGAGAAATGCACACACATGAGTGAGCGTGTTTGCTATAAGCCACAAAGCAGTCTCAGTTGTGTGTTTGTGTACCTTGGACTGATGGCCATAAACAGGAAATGCAACTTCACTAATACTGTTTATAGAACTATTGTGGAGGAAAATCATTTGTTAGCTTGAGTCAGGGCCTTTTCCTTTGTGAAATCGAGGTGAAAATCCCAAATGAGAGCTGGGAAATCTAAGAATCTAGTATGTCCATTGATATATTTTTGACAATTATTAATGATAAGCTATTTTGAGACTTCAGACAAATGACTACAGTCATCAATTTGAGGGTGAATGATTCTTTTTAAAAAGTGCCTTTCCTCGGGCTGGGTGTAGTGGCTCATGCCTGTAATGCCAGCGCTTTGGGAGGCTGAGGTGGGAGGACTGATTGAAGCCAGGAGTTCGAGAACAGCCTGGGCAACATGGTGAAACCCCATCTCAACAAAAAATAAAAAAAATTAGCCGAGTGTGGTGGTGCTCACCTGTAATCCCAGATACTCGGGGGTCTGAGGCAGTTGGATGGCCTGAGCCCAGGAGTTTGAGGCTGCAGCGAGCTATGATCATGCCACTGCATTCCAGAGCGATACACTGTCTCCAAAAAAAAAAAAATATATATATTTTGCTAATAGTTTTTCCATGTTTGTGGACATTAGCCAAAGTTCAGTAATAGAAGCTTATGTACAAAACATTTGGAGAAGGCAAACAAAAGTGTTTTCCTTTGGAGAGCCAAGTTCACCTACTAGCTAAGAAGCAGGGTTCCATACACCAGACTTTAAGAAATTTAAATTTGCTCCTCAATAAATCACAGATTACTGGAGCTCATGGATTTTTAGGGTTTCTGGTGAACAGTTGAAACTGCAAATGTTCAATCTTTGAATTAAAAGATTTT